GCAAGTTATATAAGTGTCAAATCACTATGTTATAAACCTGAAACTAATATGTCAATTATAACTGAAAAAAATTATAAAAAAATAAAACAGTAAAAGTACAATATCAGGGAATCTGTATTAAAATTTTGACACCTAATAGGACCTATTAGTTCAAACAGCTCACATAATAAAGCTTAAAACAAAAATGGTAGTAAAGCCAAAGGTAGACATATGAATTAAACTTATTCTGAAACAGAGCTGAAGACAGTTTTCGAAGTAAATTCTATTAGTCCCAATTGCCACCTGTCAAATCCCTTCCTAAGATCAGAGGGACAGCCTATCACTTGACTCTGTCCCCAAAACTGTAAAGCTTTTACACTCTAAAGTTCTATAAAGTTGTGTGTCTCTCACACAGAAACAGTAAATGAAATAATTTGAAATATATCTGCCTATATAAGAAAAAAAGACTACCAATACAAAAAAAAAAATTGTAAAGCACTTTGTTAATTCAAAAAAATGAATACTGAGTGTCTCTTATGGAGCAAGATCCTTGTCCTTAAGCTCTGCACAGTCCATTGCAGCAATTTTCACCTTTTTCATCTCATGGCACACAAACTAATTACTAAAATTCTGCAGTACACCAAAAAATATATTATATACATTTTTTGCTGATTTGACCAAAAACAATAGCTATAATTTTGATTCATACACACTGGATAGCTATTGTTGCATTGGCTGTTGTCATTTTTTCATTTGACAATCTAAGGGAAAACAGGTCAGTGCCTCTGACTAAATAGTCAGGTATTCCATGTTTTAAAAATCAGTATGGCACACCAGGGTGCCACAGCAAACCTGTTGAAAATGTTGACCTAGCAGGAAAAACCACTGATCAATCTATCTCATATTTCATGAGACATAACAAGCTAGATGCTGTAAGAGCACAGAAAAGACCATTCTCCAAACCTATATAGACAGATGTATGACATTAGCTGGTGTTCTTGATTATAAAAGGGAGATTCCTTAACTGTGTTTCTAAACAAACCTGTGTTGGTTATCAGCTATTGGTTCCAGCTTACCCTTCTATTTTCTGTCCTGTGACCTTATGATCAACATCTGCACACTGAATTTTCCAGACCACTTTGGGTTCTGCCAGTTGGAATCACTTTAGAGGTTCAAAGGTGGCAGCAAAGAAGAAAATAATTTACTCTTATTTCCAATTCTTTCCAGCATCTCTCCAGCTACAAGGCATAGCTACACAGTCCCAGCTTCCAATTTCAAGCATCAATTGTTACCAGCAGCAACCAGTTTAATTCGCCTCAGATGTCTAACCATAACTTTTCAGGGTGCCCTTCGGAGGTCAAAACAATAGTTTTGCTGTGGCTGCTCCTCTGAATTCCTAGGTTCTGGCAACCTCAGAACTTTTGTTCCCTCCGTCATAAGGATGGTTGCCGCTTCTTGAAGTTACTACTGGGGGCTTACCTCCATGCTCCCTTTTTGCTCTTTTAGTCTTCCATCTTTATAACCAATTCCCTGCATTTATTCTCCCCTTTGAAATAATTAGTGTGACTTCTGTGCTCCTGACCAATATAAAACCTAAACATGATAGTCTTGAAATATAGACATGATTTGTTCAGGTGAACTAATATTAAAGAAGGGAGTATATATCAGTAAGCAAAAGAATTGTGGGAATATGAAGTGTAGCATCCAAAGACAAGTCAAAAAATTATAATTTATGGTACTTTTTGCATTATTATTCTACCTTCGGAGAGATAAAGCTTCCAGCCTTTATATGGTATGAACTGATCTAATGTTGACTGTAGTAGCAAAGTCTGTGAGGTTTGTTCTGAAAACAAAACAAAACAGAAAACTAGGTTAGTAGAAACAGCAAACATTTTTTCCAATTTGCTTCTCCTACTAATAATGAGAACTTGACATGATATTAACAGTATCTAAATTACAGGCTTCAGTAAGAATTTTGGATATTTACATTCAAATACTACCTTAAAGGGTTAACATCAATAAAAGACAGACTGAAATTTTAAGTTCAACTGCTCTGTATGCCAGGCATGAATAGATTCCTTCATGAAAAAACAAAAACAAAAACAATCATTGACCTCCCCTACCAGAAGCATGTTTTCCTATTGTTTTACTAAAGTCAGGTTTGTGTCCTCTTTCTCTCCATTTTCCTGAGAAGTTCCCGCCACCTCTTCCTCTTTTCCAGCTTTGAAATCTTCCTCGTCCAAAACCTCTGCCTCTATACCCTCCATTCATGTCTTCTAAAAGAGAGATTAGGAAAGCCTTCATCAAAATTATAGGGAAAACAGTACTCCTAAAAATGCATTCACTAACAAATAAGTGAAAAATAATATAATGTAATTTAACAATAGTCAACAGGCTTGCAGCATTGTACACCATGATGTAAACCTGTTACTCTTCTAAGCTGCAGTTACTCTTCTAATCCTTTTTAGGGTATACTGTAGATGTTTAACCAAGTATAGTGGATGTTCATGAGATAAAAGTAAGAAAAGGTACTGTGCCTATTTTCAAGAAGCTCCAACAACAGAAATGAGAGCAAGACAGACAGTTAACTCTAAGACTTGTTTGCAGTTTTTTGAGACTTTATAGGGCAGCACTGGCTGAACATAATCCTGACCTGTGAGATGCTATGAATACATCATCATAGCTCTTTTATACAGTCAGTCCTGCAGTGTTACACCCACTTTTTTCAGAGATACAAGGATATTCTTATATAGGCATCTAAGGTAGACTTTTCTGGGGTAGCACAGGAGTGGAACAGGGTACGCACAAGGTCTGTCTGGAAGGTGTCCAGCCATGTAATATGAAAAATAGAGACATTTATTTAAGATGAAACACTGTACATAGGACAATAATGATGCCTCAATTCCCTTCAAAGTAGGCACCTTGGGTTCACACACAGTTCTCAAAATCGCCCCAGTTGCCCTGTCTTATTTTCCTGAATCTCGACAGTCTGAAACCTCTTCCCTTTTAAAAATGATTTTAGTTTCAGGAAGAAGCAAAAGTCATAGGGCACCAAATCTGGGCTGTGGGGGACTGAGTCACCTGGGGGATTTAATGCTTCACCAAAAACCTCTGCACGAGACGTGATGCATGAGCAGGTGCATTGTCATGATTAAGCTGCCAATCACCAGGTGCCCATAGCTGTGTCCTTGTGAATCATCCTAATAGTTTCTGTGGAGGAATATTCAAGTTAAACTCACAATCTGAAGCAGATTTATTGCTCTACTCAATCATTTTCAATGTGATGGCCACACAGTACACATGCTCACTCAATGGTGTCTACCATCCCCACTGACTAGTACAGTGAAGTCCTCATTGTTCACACTTGCACATTCCAGTTCATTCTCCTTGGCTGCCAGGTTACATCCACATGGGGTAAACCACTCTCATTATATTAACAACGGCTGGACTTTTTCCAGACAAACCTCATATATATGGGCCCAAATGGGAAAGATGTTAATTTTCCAGGAGACATCCGTAACTGTCTTAAAAGATAGGGGAAGCAAGATTAATTCTAGGTCAATACTGATTAAATGGGTTATTTGCTGTTTTTAGATAAATTTGTTGAAATCCAAGTTTTTGGAAAGCATATCCATATTTATTGTCATAATTTTTTGCTAACTATCCCTTCAGTTTTCTATTCTGTACATAGCAAGATACTCATTTTTATTAAACCTAAACCTATAAAGACAGTTCCTGGATGAGTACGAATAAATTGAAATACGACCCTTTTAAAAGTGGGTTTTAAAATAATTCATATAGGTAGAGCGCAGGGCATTTTTAGGGCAGCAAAACCATTGTTGCAATATTGCAATGTTGGATATGATATTACACATTTGTCACAACTCATGGGCCTGTACAACACAGTGAATCCTAATGTACACTATGGACTTTAGTTAATAATAATGTATTAATTTAGTCCATTAACTTCCATAAATTTATCACACTAATGCAGGATGTTAATGGGGGATTACGTATCGGAACTCTTTACACTTTGAACAGTTTTTTTGTAAATCTAAAACTGTTCTGAAAAAGTATTTTAAAAAATAGTTCATATCCTAAATATAAAATATATCCATATACAGTAGTGCGATTCAATAAAGAGCACGTATCTGAATCTTTCTTTAAATGGATCTAAGTAATAAGTTAATAACTACACAAGTTCACCATGGTAGGGCAAGACAGGACTTTGATAATCGTCTAGACATTACATTAAGAAACTAAAGGCCAAAGAAACTGATCAAAATCCCAAGTTTGGTGGCAGTACTGAGCTCAAAGCTTCCTCTTCAGACTCCCTAGCTGACCGCTCCGTCGATAACGCTACGTGCCATTTTTTTCTCTAATAAGATAACGGTGAAAATAACCAGTACAATTTGCAACACAAATGCAATAAGTATGACTGGAAAATGAGTAAAGGAACCATCATGGGCCTGCTGTGCTTCGTGAAATATCCTACTTCACTTACGTCTCCTCACGCTAAGTTCTTACAGGCAAAGGATAACGATCCCAAAGCCGTCCTACTTTCCACCGGGGCCGACTCCGGGATAGGAGCGGATCCGCCCAGCTGGTTCTCCCGGCCCTTCGGGTAGAAGCAAGGCGGGGCTGAGAGGAGACTTCGAGATCCTCAGGTGACCCCTGCCTAAGTCCCGCAGTTCCCTTCAGCTGCAGCTCTCTCGCCGTCCCCGCGCAGGACCCAGTCTAAGCTGCCAGAGTAACTCAGGGTCTTGTTTCTCCACTATGTGCCCGAAAGCTCGCGGGGAAATATGCAGCAGTTCAACTTATTGTACAGCCTTCTTCCAAGTTCTTTTTTGGCGCTGCTATGACGCAAGTTCCGTCCAAAGAGCAGAAAGACGGAAGGGGCGGGATGGAATGCAGCCAATCAAGGAGTTCGGTCAGAGGGAAGACCTGAGGCTTCCGGAAGCTGTCCGGAGGGTCTGACCGGAAAGCGGAAGCGGCGCTCAGCACGTGGGGGCGGTGTCGACGGGACGGTTCTGCGTCCTCTCCGTTTGTGGGAACTGACGCTGGCTGCCGCGACCGCTGAGGACGGGGGGCTGGGCATAGGGGGCTGGAGAAAAGCTGCGGAGTCGGGCGGCCCGCTGAGCGTCATGGAGTGTTCTGGAGAACAGTCGGGCCCGGAGCCACAGCTTCCCGGGGACCACCGCATCCGCGACGGAGACTTCGTGGTGCTGAAACGGGAAGATGTATTCAAAGCAGTGCAAGTTCAGAGGAGAAAGTGAGTCAGGTCGCTGATCTTAGGGTCCAATACCCCGTATTCTAGATGCTCTCTCCCGTCAGGTTTCCCACATACCCCTCTCATCAGGGTGTCATTTTTGGCTCTCTGGATCCTCAGCGTCCTCTCTAGTTATCTCCTCTCGGATCTCCCCACGGAGGGCTTTTCCCCCAGCATCCCATCCTCGGCCCTCTACTCTACTTTTCGTGTCTTTCTACAGAGACCCCCTTCCATGGTCTTATATTTGGCCCTCTGCTTCAACATCCTCCTCAGTCTTTCTGCTGAGAGTGTCTTTCCCATTCTTGACCCTGTAGTGCTCCGGTACTCCCCCCGCTCCACACATGGTTACCCCCACCCCCTGTACTGGGGTTCTAACACTAGGTTCTCAAGATCTCTTTTTTTTTTTTTCCTCACAGAACCTACTCTTTACTCTCTGCTCTTATCCTTGCTTCTCACCCGACCCCCTTCTCCCATAGACCCTCCTTCCTTACTCCTCTGCCAGGATCAGTTCCACAAAAACGAAACCTCTCCGACTTTATGTGATCTTCTGAGCGCTTCTCTCTACCTCAAAGGACTACTTGTCTACACTGAATAACTTCCCATAGAATGTGTGGTCACTTGAGGCTTCCAAATTTTACACCAGGCGATGGGAGTTTTTGGAAAAGTTAAATTGCCCAGAAGCAGTTTGCTTAAGTTCTCAGAACTTGAAATTAGGTTTGGTTTGTGAACCTGCTGATTAAATATCACTGATTTAGTATTAGAAAAGTGAGAGTTTTGATAACTTTAAGCAGGGGTGATGAGGTTCTTAAGTCTCAGGTGCTTATTAATGGTGAAAATGTATTGGGGTGTTTTGATTAATTATTTGAAAAGTAAAACCAAGCTTTCTTTTGAGGTGGCTTATTATTGTACTTTGGATAAAGGAGTAAGTTCAAGGCAGTGTCAGGAGAAGAGCTAGCAGACCATAAGTCTGGGTATTGTGAGACTTGGAATTTGTGGTAAGTGCTCAGTTCAGATGAACTGTTACTTCTTTGTGAATCAAACTGTTGCCTGGTATTTAAAGTGAAACGGGTGTCATGGAAAAATAATAACAGTCCCCAAAGCACCAAATGGTGACAACGAAGTTTCTTTGCACAAGCACCACTCCACTAAAGAAAGGAAAAAAATGCAAGGGGAGAGAGATTTGTTTTAGTTCAGAAATGCAGAATCTACACCAGCTTTTAAGCCTTTGTAAATTCCACATTGATAAAATTCATTTTGGTGGTTGAAATTAGAGAAATTCCGTAATATATATCTCATCATTACTGTATTTTATATTCTTTTTATTTTCTTAGAGGGGAAGGGAGGGAGAGAAACTTCAGTGGGGTTGACCCTCGTTCGCACCCTGATTGGGGACCAAACCTGAAACCCAGGCGTGTACCCTGACCAGGAATCCAACCTGCAACCTTGTGGTTTATGGAGTGACACCCAGCCAACTGAACCACACCGGCCAGGGCTGTATTTTGTATTCTTAAAACCAGTACTTTTCTTATTTTCAGCCTTTTTGATTAGAAAGGTGTGCTTGCTCCCAAGTACCTAAATTTTGGAAAGTGCCAGTAATAATTATTTAAACTTTTTAATTGAAGTATAGCATCATTAGATTGTAAGTTCGAGGAACTCAAAGTTACACAACTGTATAATGACTGTGCGGGTGAAACTGTTTTTTCTTTTTTTTTCATACTGTCCTTTTAAGTTGCCTAATTTTGCAGTGTGGTTGTTTGAGTGTGCTTCTTTAAAATGTGCTTAGATGAGAACTTTTTCAGTCCTGAGGAAGCAGTCAGCAACATCTTTATTTCTAAAAAGTACTCTTTAGAATTTTTAAAAATTTGGAAACACTTTTTATCACTTTCCTAGGCAGAAGACACAACATTAGTTTACATTTAGAAAATGACCCTCTGAGGTCAGCTACATCCCAGGCCAAATGTTCCCTTCCTTTACAGCTAGATTCATCTGGTTGAGCAGAAGCAGCCGTGGCTATCTAGAAGGAGATTGCAAATCCCCCCACCTTTTCCCGGTGAAGACTTGGCTCCACATCCTTCTGGCTGAGCCCCACTTTGCATACTAGGGCATTGACCTCCTATCAGGCCAATCAGTTTGAGTGACATACCCTCCTTTGCACATGAGACCAGAAGCCAGAGGGATAAACTCAACCCCAGCAAAGAACCAGTATTTCATTAGCACTGGATACTCAGAGAACTGGGAGGAGGTGCACATCTAGGCCAAGCTGAGTTTGAGCTTCTCTGCCAGGGTTTATGTCAGCAAATATTTTGAATATCATTTGTTGGGAACTGAAGACCCAGCAGAGAAAAGAGTTGGTTTTATCTGGATCACTTAGTATCTTGCAGAAATTCACTCAGATGATTCAAGTGAGATTTAATGAAGATGTGACACATACAAATAACATACAGAGGGGTGGCAAGGTTTAGGAAACTAGTAGAGACTGGAGTCTGGCAGTGAATGGTAGGAAACCTTTGGCAAGGGAGCCTGGGTGATGTGTCTTATACATTCTGTCATGGTCCGCCTCCTGGGGGACAGAGAAAGGAAGAGAAGGTGTGGGGTGGGGCATGAAAATTAACCAGCATGTGTCTTGCAGGAGTCGGAGTTCTATCAGTGTGAGCCAATCCTGAATCTAGGCAGGACGTCTGAGAGCCATTGGTCTTTGCTGGGTAGACTGTGTGGTACAGTGGAAAGAACCAGGCTTTGGGAGGCAGGCAGACTTGGATTTGAATCCCGGCTCCCACGTTTAAACTGTGAACCTTGGGAAGACACTTTTCCCTGAGCCTCAGATTGCTCATTTGGAAAGACCTGCGCCCCAGGATTGCTATGAACTAAATCAAAAAGTATGAAACACCTGGCAAATACTGCTTAGCCCCTGGCTGACCCTCAGTGGATGTTTGTTTTCTTAAGAAAGGAAAGGTTCTTGTTTTTTGTGGGATTTCAGTTTAAAATTGTAATAAGATGAAAATCTGGGTAATGGAATTTTGTTTGTAATAAACCACTTTCAATAAATGTTATTCTCACTGTCAAAAAATAAAATCTAGGTAATGGGAAAAACTAAAGTCACCTGGGCCTCAGCAGAGCGTTGGCAGTGTCAGGCACCATTTCCAAATGTGTATATTGTCAGTAGTGTTTATTTGTAAGTCTAATTAGCTTTTACTAGGTAATTTCAAAGAAAATGACCATTTAAGCTAGGGAATTCGTTAAATCCCTGTTATGTTAAAGATTGTTCAGTTTTGAGATTTTCTTTTGTGAGTTTCAAGGGGTGTGAGTGTGTGTCCAGTGACCTGGCATCCTTGGCCACCCTTTATGCTACTTAGGAAGTGTGCAGAGCTTGTGAGCTGGGACATCCTGTTAGACAGTGCTAATTGGAGTCAGACCTATGCCCCAGAAGAGGAATGTCTTGTCCTTGTTTCTTATTCCAAATTCAGTGTTTTGTGGCTTCCTTATTACTGTCTCTGCCCCAACCAGATTCTGTCTAGTTCATTTATCATTTCATGTTCAGAGATAATGCTGTACGTCATCCTTTGTGTGGACCAGTTTTGAAATAAACTAGAATGAATATATCTTTTCTATACTAAATGCAAATGAGATTCAACTAATTGATTGCATTTTATTCCCCAGAAAAGTAACTTTTGAAAAACAGTGGTTCTATCTGGATAACGTCATTGGCCATAGTTATGGAACCACATTTGAAGTGACCAGTGGAGGAAGTCTTCAGCCTACGAAGAAGAAGGAAGAGCCTGCTTCAGGTGCATACTTTGGTTGTATGAAATAGGTGCTCTTGAGCTCTCTAGTCAGAAACCTGTCAACCCTAATTAATTCTAATGTATTAGTCCAGGCTATCTCTAAAGAAATCTAAACTCATAATCTAAGAACTAAAGCTTAGTGGAATGAAGCATGGTTTGCCTTTGGCTTTGAGATACTTGGATCTGGCTCCAGCCCATCATCACTGACTCTTTGACCTTGGGCCAGGCATTTAATCCCATGAATCCTTGCTGCTTCAGTGTAAAAGCAGATGCAGAGCCTTTTCAGTACTCAGAGTTAAGGAACAGCTTTGAGGTAGGTAACATACTGGTTGGAGGTTAAGGCGGCTGGCTTTGAATTCAGTTGACTAGGTTTAAGATTCAGCTCCATTACTTGCTTTGTAACCTTGGGCAAGTTATTCTCTAAATCTTATCTCCTCATCTGTAAAATGGGACAATAAACATTTAATGCCTAGGCTGTAGAGAGTCATAGGAGATATATAGAAAGTTCTTAATAGTGCCTTGCTTATAATAAAGCCCCCATAATTTTAGCTATTATTATTAATTAAAATTAAGTACTTAAATATTTGTTAAAATGAATGTACTTAATATATTTTATTAAGAAAATAAATATCCTTAAATAATTATTAAAATTAAACAATTAAAACTGTTAAAATTCTGGTTCAAACAAGTTAGTTAAATACTTCTAACATCTATATTTTTATTAAGTACCAAATATGTTTCAGGCATGTTTAGTCATTATGATTATAGCAGTTCATGAAATGGATCATTTAATAAAATTTATTAGTGGAGCACTGACTGTCATGGCTCAGTGGACGGAGTGTTGGCCTGTGAGCCAAAAGGTTACTGGATCGATTCCTGGTGAGGGCACATACCTGGGTTGCAGGCCAGGTACCCAGTTGGGGGAGTGCGAGAGGCAACCAGTCATTGTTTCTCTCGCACATCAGTGCTTCCTCTCCCTGTCTTTCTCTTTCTCCTTCCCTTCCGCTCCCTAAAAACAAATAAATAAATTTAAAAAAAATTATTAGTGGGGAACACCAAAAATAATCTAGTAAAAAAGCAAACAGCATAATTTTAGATGGTGATGCATGCTATGAAGATGACAAAGCAGAGAGGTGTCCTAGAAGCTGATTAGATGAGGTGATATTTGGCTGCGATAATGAGCTCAGCTCAGATTGATGGAAAAGATGCAGCTACTCACATTGTCTTAAGAGCGTTGCAGACAGAGAGAACAGCAAGTACTGAAGCCCTGGGGTGTGGGCTTGTGCTTAGGGGCTTAGGAACAGAAACAAGGACAGTGTGGTTGAGAATGAGGGTCAAGAAATGAGGCCGGAAGAAGGTAGCCAAGGGCCAGAGCATACACACTTGCAGATCATCTTTGCATTGTATTCTAATTGCTACTGGAAGCCTCTTTGTGGTTTGGTGAATCAGAATAATGAGACGATTTGCATTTTAAACAGAACTCTGGTCCCCAGGTGGATTGTAGGGGACAAATGCAGGAGCAGGAAGATGAGTTAGAGACTTGTAGTCAGTGCAAGAAAGGATGATAGGCTGGGGTGGAACAGAAAGGCCAAATTTGCATGTACATTCCAGTGGAACTGGAAGGCCAAATTTGAGTGGCTGATGGGCTGGATGTGGATATGAACTTAGAAGAAGGAAGATTTTTAATAATTTCAGATCATAAATGTCATAAAGCAATTTCCTTCCTTAGAGACCAAAGAAGCGGGCACTGATAATCGAAATATAGTTGATGATGGGAAATCTCAGAAACTTACTCAAGATGACATAAAAGCTTTAAAGGACAAGGGCATTAAAGGAGAGGTAATATTAAAAGGATATTGTTTTGTTTTTGTTTGGTATTTAGGGAATTGCTTGGTTTTTAAAGCAGATTTTACCTGAGGTAAAATGTAAAAATACTGTATATTTGTTAGAAATAACTTGGAATGTACATGCAATTCAGTACGTCAAAAGTTTCATTTCTTATATGCAGAAATGTAAGTGAATGAAATTACTAATATTGTTAGCAAACGAAAATTTAATAACTTAGTGCATATTAGATCTTAACTTTATTTTCAGTAATGTTTTCAGCCAGTGTCTTCAGGAATGACAGTTTCCTTTACCTCTCTTCTTTCTTTGTTGTATATCCCTGTTAGTTTAGTTTAAACGGTGTTATAAAGTACTTGTATTTTAATACAAATTCTAGATAGAGTAAGAAACGACAGAATTCATCCATTTAAACTTCTGTGGAAAAGGAACTGGAGAATCAGACCTTTGGATACATTCTGGGGTAAGAAACCTTTGAAGTGATCTGTTCTGTGAAAATAAAATTTCAGGAAATCTGCTCCTTTTCTTATAGGAAATAGTTCAGCAATTAATTGAAAATAGTACAACATTCCGAGACAAGACAGAATTTGCTCAAGATAAATATATAAAAAAGAAGAAAAAGAAGTAAGTCTGTTTGAAAAAGATGGAAACATTAAATCTTTTTGTAGATTTAAAAAACATTATTAAAAATAAAATGTTTTTAAACCAGTATTTAAAAATTGGTGTTCTGTTTTTTTCTTCCCCCAGATATGAAGCCATCATTACTATTGTGAAGCCATCCACCCGCATTCTTTCAATTATGTATTATGCCAGAGAACCTGGAAAAATTAAGTACGCTTTGTTTCCTTTCAAAAGTATAATTGGGGGAGAATTTATTTTTAAGAAAGTCATGATTTTAAATAAAATGAAAAACTTGCTCACCTGCATAAAGTATTCTCCTACCCCATAAATTGTAAGTTCTTTTTCCTGTCGCTCCAAAGCAATCGATAATCTTATCAACATAATGTTTAATGTGACAAAACTTGAAAAATGATTAAAATTACAGACCTTGCTTTGCTAAGAATGAATGAATTGTTCTTTTTTTCTTAGCCACATGAGATATGATACACTAGCTCAGATGTTGACATTGGGAAATATTCATGCTGGCAATAAAATGATTGTAATGGAAACGTGTGCAGGCTTAGTACTGGGTGCAATGATGGAACGAATGGGAGGTAAGTTTTAACATTTTCAAATTCATGTTTTGAGTAAAGATCTAAAAAAATAAAAATTTCAATCTCATGGAAAGTGAGGTTGAATTACTGTGAGGTTATTGAAGTAACTTGGGCCTATGCAGCTCCAGTCCCTGGGACCTTTCTGCACAGTCTGCAACTCCCAGCCTGCCCTGTGTTGGCACCTCCAGATGACAGCTGTCCTTCCCTGCTTCAGTAGCAATGGGGGTGATTCTCAAGACTGTGGCTGGCTAAGACCTCCAGGGCAATGATTTCAGGAACCTCTTGTATAGCTAATGTTATTGGTGTGAATTGAGTGGGAAAAATACTAGGAATGTATTTACTGCTGGAAGATACAGTACAACCTGACTTGCCTGCCCTTTCTCTGACCCCATAGAAGCTAAGAACTTTTAACTGTCATGTCTGAAAATAATGTCATTGGACTGGGGGAAAGCTGAGAAACAGTCACCAATCATGTGACATCCAAATTTGCAAAATCAGAGTTTTACTATAGTGTCAGGTGGGAGTAAGCTTGTTTAAAACTTCCTGTGTCTCTGCTTTGGAATTACATCACATCCACTGGCAATATTCATAGACTCCAAACTCCTAGATGAGCTGCATCATCTCATCTGTCAGCCTCTGAACAGAGTCAAGTAGAGAGACATTCAGTCTTCTTACTGTGGAGGACCCTAAGGATTTGCAAAATCTAGAGTCATCTTCATCACGAGATACTTGTTTTTTTAATCTGTTCAGGTTTTGGTTCCATTATTCAGCTGTATCCTGGAGGTGGACCAGTTCGGGCAGCAACGACGTGTTTTGGATTTCCCAAATCTTTCTTCAGTAGTCTGTATGAATTCCCCCTCAACAAAGTGGACAGCCTCCTAAATGGAACATTCTCTGCCGAGATGTTATCTTCAGAGCCAAAAGACAGTGCTTCGGTTGAAGAAAGTAATGAAGCACTGGAGGAAAAACAGACTCCCGAACAGGAGAACGAAGACAGCATGGCAGAGGCCCCAGAGAACAACCACCCCAAAGAAGAGGAAACAGTGGAAATTATCTCTCCAGATCCAGAGTATAAGGAGCCTAAACAGAAAGGAAGCAAAAGGGATTATGTAAGAATGTTAAAGAGTCGCCCCTGCCCTCATAATACACCTCCCAGGACCTAAGTTAATTTCATTTAAGCACTAAGATTTGATTTGGCTTTGCAGCAACAGCTCCCAAAATAATAAATATCAAAACAGATGGAGAAAGTGTGTGTGGGTGCACACACATGTGATACAATCTCTGGGACGGAGCTTTATGATACAGAAACATTGTATATAGGTAGTGTAATCATTTTATAGCATACGGGCTTTCTCGTGTGTTTTCAGCTTCCTTATAAATGACCTCCTTCTGTTGCTTTAGTTTGAGTTGATAAACATTGTTGAAATGTTTTGAAAGACCAATGTTTCCATAAGCATGACTGAATGACCTCAGTACTTTGGTTTCTTATTTTTGAAGAATCAGGAAAAGCAGAGGAGACAAGAGGAGCAGAGGAAAAGACATTTAGAGGCTGCTGCTCTGCTGAGTGAAAGGAACGCAGATGGGTGCGTTGATGAAAGAATACGGGTGACATCTTGCTGTTCACGAGCTCTGCCTGAAACATATTAGTATTCTCTGCCTGTCTGCTTTGCTTCTGTGGGAGCAGACATGATGATTCTTGAGTTTTTAAAGAAAGGAGGCTGTATCTGGTAGAGGTAGGAAATTGTGCTGGTTTCAGAATTTTTAAAGAAATTTGAAATCTCTCCAATGATGGTGCATCAGCTGGCTCTGTGTAGTCCTTGCCTGCATGCAGGTGGTGGGGTGTTCAGCTTGGTGTGAAACTGGCTAATGTGAGGGTTAAGGAGACCTGACAGGGGAAGAGATTCAGGTGCCTGCAGAGCCAGCATCACTGTTGGATTCGTTTCCAGGTGATTTTTTTAATTGAACTTACTGGGGTGACATTGGTTAATAAAATTATACAGGTTTCACGTGTACTCCAGATGATTTTTTTTAATCAAGAATGTTAAATGCTACTTAGAGTTGCCAGGCACCTTGAGAGCTTATAATTCAGTCTGTGTTTCCTAGAAATGAATAGTTCATGATTTTATCTGGAATTTTTAGAATGTTGTATTTAAAGTTCTTCCTTGTATAAGTCATGCAAATAAACACATGATCATTTTAAATGTATTTTTAAAACCTATGCTCCATTTTGGGAGCAAAGAGAATAATATATCCAACATCTTTCTTGCAGTTTAATTGTAGCTAGTCGTTTCCACCCCACTCCACTGCTGCTGTCTTTGCTGGATTTCGTGGCCCCTTCAAGGCCGTTCGTGGTCTACTGTCAGTATAAAGAGGTAATACTAAAATGGAATAGAGGGGAATTCTTGTAGCCAAATGTTGATTCTCAAATTATGTCCCTAGAAGTAATTCTTAACAGAACTTTTTTATGCCTTCAGCCTCTGTTGGAATGCTACACAAAACTACGAGAAAGAGGAGGGGTCATCAACCTCAGGCTGTCTGAAACCTGGCTCAGAAATTACCAGGTACATGTTCCTACAGCCAGGCCCAGGAGCTGCTCTCCTGTGTCTCTGGCTCCCTGCAGTACTGCTGGAAGTTGCTAAATACAGATATCCCTATTTCTGTTTATAGAGATGAAACAGTCTCGTGCCTATAACTCAGAGAAAGTGTCCTGATCTTTCCTTACCCTTTTTTTCTCCTTTTGTGCCAGGGCTTATTACTGTGTGACTCCAATGCAGAAACATTTAAAATGCAAACCGTTGTGGTAGTGTTTACCCACTGCCTCAAGGTCACTGTGGAGGGAATAACTAATAATAGCAAAACCCCCAAGCCGAGAAAGTGATCCTCTCCTCTCTGCTGAGATGTCTGTGTAGCAAATTTTCAGTATTTACTGGTGGGCTCTGTGTCAGGTCAGGTCCTCTGGAAGGCATAGGTCAAGTGGAATTAGAAGTGTAATAGATTTATCGGGGGAAATGCCTTTGAAAGATAAGCAGGGAGGGAACAGGATTAGGCAGGCAGGGAAAGCAGGCAGACCCAGATGCAGGTCTGGTGCCTATGAAAGAGGAGGGTAACAGTATAGGGGAGGGAGAAACTGCTAGGGTCATGGGGAGCCCCAGAGCAAAGACTTCCTATTAAAGGAGCCTTGTTTTGGCCAGAAATGGTGCAGTCCTGGCAGCCATACCCAGTTATCAACTTGGAGCAGCCCATGGCCTCTCTGGGAGTAAAGGCTGGGACAGCTGCTGAAGGCCTTCTGCTGCTTGAAATCCTCATAGCAGTTCCCTCTTGGAGATCTGAGGGAGCGCCTCCATGCGGCCACCTCCATGCGGCCACAGGCCCTGCCCTGCTGCGTGGATGCCATGCATCGTACAGGACACTGCAGCCCTGGGTGATCCTGCCCTTGATGGCAGCCGTCTTATTTAGCTACAGTAGCAGGAAAGAGGTCTTGACAGAGTCAGCGGGCATTAGGAAAGGGAGCCTGTGAGTGTATGTCCAGTAGCTGCATTTCCAAGGACCCAAACTCCGCTGTTGGCCATGCAGTGCCCTGGAGCCAAGGGTAAGAAAGCTACTCACAGGCCCAGAGCACTACACAAACCGTTGGCTCATTTGCCACCCGAAAGTTGCTTCAGGTTTAAGAGAATCAGCTTCTCTTTTTATTTTTATTTTTCAAAAGAAAGTCACTTAAACCAATTTGTCTAGTTTAATCAGCACTATCATTTCTAGGAAGGAGCTCCTTAATACTGGCCTGTTTAAATCTTCAAGAGAATCTGTCATTTAAATGCTGAATTCTGGCACGTGTATTGTTAAGCATGTTTTTTACCTGCTTAGGAAAACATGAGTGTCTATCTTTCTGTCCTGTGTAGGTTTTGCCAGATCGAAGTCATCCCAAACTACTGATGAGTGGAGGTGGGGGTTACCTTCTCTCAGGCTTCACTGTTGCCATGGAAAACCTTAAAGCAGACCCCAGTCTCAAATCCAACTCAAGCACTTTAGAATCACACAAGAATGAAGAGCCAGCAGCTAAAAAACGGAAATGCCCAGAGTCTGACTCTTAACCTTTGATGAGTTGCTTTGATTTTTGTTCTCAGGCATTATACAGTTAGTAATTAAATTTAAAAGTCATTACTAATTGGTTTTTCATATTCCAACATAAGATCATGTCTATACAACTGTTCCTGGGAAAAATAAGTATGTCTTTTGTTCACCACCAACACTGATGGGGTTTGGTTTGTCAAAACCTTGAGCCAAAATACCCACGCCTGGAGTATACTGTGGACTGAGATATGGCCAATTCTGTTTATTTTACAACAGTGCTCCAGGAACTTTCAGTACTCTGTGCAGATGTCTAGAATTTAGACATCTTAAAAATCTATTTATATAAGACTGTTTATGTGTTAAGCTAAGTGGGATAACACAACATAGCTAAAACTTGATGGGTACTTAAGGAATTTGTGGAAGAAATTTCCTTGTTCATTCTACTCTCTGTAACCTAAGCAATACGGATGTGTGAGTGTTAGATTTACAGTACCAAAAAATGTCCACCCCCTTCCCTACAGTGGAATAAACTATTTGAAATTCCAGATTTTCTTATTTTAATAGTTGATGACCTAGTAAAATCAAATATTTATTTTATTGCTTTCTGTTGTTGATAGGTGTAGTACAGTACTTTTTTTTGCATTAATTTACCAATCTTCTAAGAATGAATGAGGAGATTGGTCAATTAAATAAAGTGACTAGAATTTCGGTGTATGTTCAATTAAAGGAAACAAATGGTTTTTTCTCTCTCCACAGACTTACGGAGATAGATGTATACACATATATATGCACAGTAAGTCCTCATTTAACATTGTCTATAGATTCTGTAGCAGATCTTTAAGCAAAAAGATATATATCGAAACCAATTTTACCATAGGCTAGTACGTACAAACAAGAGTTAAGTTCTTATGGCATTTCATAAGTGTTATAATGAATGATAGTGAATGAATTGATGTTATTTGAGGATTTGCTGTATATGGATATTGGTACATAAACATACATATATATATTTGTATACACACACACACACACACACACACACACACACACGGAGACAGAATGCACTATCTCTATGAACTGTGACAAAGTTTAGTGCAGGGCTTAGACCAGTTATTGCATTAGTGTCACTCCTTGTCAAATGTATTTTAAAGTGCCTTTTTTGGTAATTATTAATGCTGGTTTTTTGACCTCTGGCATGATTAGGTGGTTAATCTTTCTAAGCTCCGAAAAAATATAATCAAATTATTTGGTCACCTGCTGCAGCCAGGAAAAGTGTTCAAAGTAAGTCAAGACTCTTGTCCATGAGTCTTGCTGTCTAAACACGCTCATCTGGTGTATTGTTCACATCATTATGATACAGAAGCAGATCTTCCAGTGAGGAGCATCTCAGAAAAAAAAAATTGCTTCTTCCTACTAGCATGTACTATTCTGATAATGGCCAATGTGATTACCAAGTACAGTTTTGATTCTTTTTTCTTAAAACAATTGCTTTTAAAGAATAAAAGTGTTTCCAACCGTGATCCTTTGGACTGACATTAATGATGCCGTCTGTGACACAGCGTTCACTGGCTTTCAGCCGACTGTGACATACGGTCTACGTAAGAAGACATGCCCTGATTGGCACCTCACTGAACTTGCCTCTGGAAACAGCCCTTGCAGTTTTCACCCACATACAACCAGTCAAGTTTGATCAAAGGGAACAGAACAGGTGCACAGATGGGGTTCAGTAGAGGCTGGTCTCCACTCATCACTGTTGTTGGAACCATCTCCTCCAGGGGACTCAGCCAGCTTCCGTGTCCCATCCCATCCCATTGAGGCGAGGGTCTGCCCTGCCAAGGCCCTGTGCGCCCACGAAGCTGCCCCTGGAGTTGACTCGTGGACAGATCTCACACCAGCATCTAGGTAACCCTAACCCTGATGAAGGTTTTCTCAATATAGTTTTCTTATTCATTAAGTACTGATGATTTAATTCAGTGGGTCGAAAACTGTGCACCAGGATCCCCTGGAGGGCTCATTAAACACAGATGGTTGGAGCCCCGTCCCCAAGTGTTTGATTCAGTAGGCTTGGGGTGGGCAAAAAGGACATTTCTAAGTTGCCAGGTGATGCTGGTGCTGCAGGCCAAAAAAACGACTTGTTGAGAAACTCCTACACCCACGTCGTGAGTGCAGCTAAATGCACAGTGTTTTTTGTCTTGTTGGTAAAGTGGGCATCCACCTTTGGAGCACGTAAATGGATAATTCTGTGACTTCTGGACGTCCAGCCACCACAAGAAGTACATGAAATATAATGGGGGCAGTCAGAAAGTAAAGAATCATTTTGTAATGTCCATCTTATTTCTTTAGTGGATTAAGGTATTGAGAATATATAGTGATGCCAATTAGGGTTTTTTAGCTTAGAGGTACACTAAAATTGTATGAAAAACATCTTTTTTTCCAGCTGTATTGTAATTGACATAACATGGCACAAGTTTAAGATGAACATGTATTGATTTGATATACATATATTACAAATTTATCACCATTGTAACATTAGCTAAAATGTCCATTCCGTGACATAATTACCACTTCTTGTGGTGAGAACATAAAAGATTTAGCAACTTTATATAATACAGTATTGTTAACCATAGTTACCATGATGTGTATTAGATCCCCTGAACTTACTAATTTTATGACAAAGTTTGTACCCTTGAACCAGTATCTCCCCATTTTCCCCACCACCACCCCCAAACCCTGGCAACCACCATTCTACTCTTTGTTTCTATGAGTTTAGTTTTTTTTAGACTACACATATGAATGACATACAGTATTTGTCTTTCACTTATTTCACTTAGCATAATGATAACCGTAAGGTCTATCCATGTTGTAAATGGTAGGATTTCTTTTTTTTTCTCATTGCTGTAAAATAAACCCATTGTGTGTGTTGCGTGTGTGTGTGTGTGTATTATATATACCTCACATCTTTATCCATTTATTTGGTGACATACTTAAGTTTCTACATTTTGCTATTGTGAAGAACGCTGCAGTGCACATGGGAGTACAGAGACCTTTTCAAAATAGGGGTTTCATTTCCTTCAGGTATATCCACAAAGCTCTACCTGTGTTTGCACCTCCCGCTACATTTTATGTTTTGATGTCACAATTTACATCTTATATCAAGTATCCATTAACAAAACTTTTTAGTTGCAGTTATTTTAACTCATCTTTTAACCTTTATACTAGAATTAGAGGATAAGTGAGACTATGGGGAATTTACATTTATCAATGAATTTTATACTGTCATATGTTTTCATGTTACTAAATGGTTAGCAGCTTTCATTTCAGCTTGAAGAACTCCCTTTAACATTTGTAAGGCTGGTCTAGCGGTGATGAATTCCTTCAGCTATCATTTGTTTGGTACCTACATATGTTTTATATGTCTGTTAAAATCGTCACTTGGTGAGCACCTTTATGACCGTTATTTTGAACTCTGTCAGGTAAATCACTATCTTTGTTTCAGTAAGATATGTTTCTGGAGATTTATCTTGTTCTTTTGTTTGGCACCTATTCCTCCATTTCTTCATTTTCCTTGACTCTGTGTCGGTGCCTGTGCTTTAGATGTAACAGCCACCTCTCCGGTCTGGACAGGTTGGTATCATGCATGAAATGAACTTCATCAGTCAGCCCAGTCTGAGCTCCTGGTTTGTCTCAAACTTTTGGGATTGCCCACGCTTCCATCTTTGGTCTTAGGGGTTCCTAAGTATTGAGGGTGTGCCAACACCAAGCCCTGCGTGTCCCAAAGGGGAGAACTGCTGTCAGCACCTGGATGCAGGCTGATTATAACCTCAATCCTCAAGTGGCAGCGGGGAAAATATTTAGTTAAGCCTCCTCCAGGGAAAAACTAGGAGATGGGCGTTTTGGAGAGCTCCCTTAACACTGAGCTGTGGAGAGAGTTGTACTGGTGTGTGCTTGTCCACTGTTGAGAACTGGTGCTTTGTTTGCTATATTCCTGTGTGTCTCATGAACACAAGCCCCGTTGACTTTCTGAGCTAGGAGTTCTGGGAAGCCATCCCTCACGTGAGAGTCTTAAAAGTTGTAGTGTAAGAAGAAGCTGAGAGTTAAGGGTCCCCTATCAATTGTCTGGCACTGGGCCAGGGGTGGAGTTTATGCCAAGAATGTGTCTCAGCCTTTTCTACCCACTTCAATATGGACATAGTCATCTGATGTGTAGAAATAACTTGGCTAGTTTCTAGATTTCTCTCAGAATGAATTGTTCCATGTACAGCTGTATACTCAGTGCATCCATGGGAGGAGGGAAGTTTAAGACACCCCCACAAATATACAAAATTTTGAAAAAGGCTAGGGTATTTGCATTTGTCTCAAAGCATTGGTTGTAAATATTGCAAGAGCAACACTAAATACTAAAAGGCATTTCCTAAAAATCTGATCATTTAAGATTTATGTTGTCCTAAGTCAGCAATTTTCAACCAATGTGCCGCAAGAATTTTTCAAACATGCAATACCTAACTATTTAGTCAGGGGCACTGACCTCTTCCCTTAGATTGTCAAATAAAAAAAAAGACAACAGCCAAAACAACAATAGCTGTCCTGTGTGAATGAATCAAAATTATACCTTTTTATTTGTCAGATAGGTAAAAATATATTTTTTTGGTGTGCCACAAAATTTTAGTAATTAGTTTATGTGTGCCATGAGATGAAAAACATTGAAAATTGCTGTTCTAAATGTTCCTGATTTGGGAATGTTTTTAAGTGCAGTTCTAGGAAGGATCTTTGAGTATCTAATTACTTTAAATATAATGTTGCCTCTATTTTTGTAAAATAGGTTACAGATTTTTTTTTCTTGGATTTAACTATGTAGCACAGGTCAGATGGCAAGAAACCTAACTCTCTGAATAGCTAGCTACTTAAAAAGCAACTGATAAACTGTTAATTCTTCCCATTAACATTTGTTGGGCACTTACTACTTTTTAACCCTTTATGAAAGTGGGCAAAATCTTTGAAGCATAGAAAATAATATCATACACCCTGCCCCTTCTTTGCCTCTTTCACAGTTCCATTGAAATACGGACTTTTGGCATTTGGCTGAGATTAAAACGAGACTAGAAAGATCCCTGACATTTAAGTTTCACACTTACATGTAACAAGGCGTTAAATAACATTTTTCAAAATGTGAATGGGCTCAATCTGTTTTAGTGTTGTCATTCTAAACCAAAAAATTTAAAAAGCAGAGAAATTAATCCAGAGGGTGGTGGGAAGGAGAGCAGAAATTTCTTAGCCTTTGGGGAGTTCTTTCCACAAGTGGGTAAAGTGGTCTCTCCCAGTTCTTTTCCATCACCTGTGAGTGGCACAAGGTAGCTAAAGCCATGTGGTGAAAGACTCAAGGAAGAGAAGAGGCAAAATAAGAAGAAATATGATTGATTTAAATCAGGGGTCAGCAGCCCTTGGCTGGTGTGGCTTAGTTGGTTGGAGCTTCGTCCCATAGACCGAAAGTTTGCAGATATGATTTTCCCAGTCAAGGCACGTACCCAAGTTGTAGGTTTGGGCCCTGGTTGAGGCAACTACAAGAAGGCAACCAGTCAATGTCTCTCTTTCACACTGATGTTTCTCTCCCTTCCTCTCTCCCTCCCTTCCTCTCTCTCTCTGAAAGCAATTAAGAATATGTCCTCAGATGAGGATAAAAAAAAAAAAATCAGAAATCAGCAAACTATAGCCCACAGGCCTAGTATGGCTCATTGCCAGGTCTTTGTATGGCCTGCAAGCTAAAAATGGTTTTTCCATTTTTTAAATAGTTGGTGGGGGAGCAAAAGAATATTTTTGTGACACATAGAAATTAAATGACATTCATATTGAAGTGCCCATAAATGAAGTTTTATTGGAACACAGCCATGTTTATTTTGTTTATGTATTGTCCCTGGCTGCTTTCGTTCTGTGACAGAGTCAAATAGTTGTGACGAAGACCATACGGCCCTCAAAGCCTAAAATATGTGCTGTCTATCTTTTTAAGAAAATATGTGCTGACCATGGATTCAAGTGACCCTTCTGGGTCCTCCAGACCTGCTGGCAGTGTCCAACATGGTTGACCCCTCTCCTTGCTGCAGTTTATCACTTGGCTTCTAGGACATCACTCTGCTGGTTTCCCTCCTGCCTTTCTGGCCTTTGTACCTCCATCTCTCATACTAGTTCCTCATCGCCTCTGAGATGAACGTTTAGAAAAACATTGGTGTACCCTAAGGGTCACCGGCTGCACCTTTTTCATTTTTTTGTCTTCTTTTTTCTACACTTGCTCCATCGGTAAAGGGATTTGGGAAATGATCAAAGAAAGAGATGTGACCATGAGGTGGCAGTAGCGCACACATGCTTTATTGTCTACTGGGTGACACCTGACAGGTCTTGAAGGTCGGGGGAGGAGAAGTCCATCACGGCAGGAACCTATCCAGAAGATACACCTTGGGTTTGCTACTGAGAAGGCGACGAGGGCAACGGAGCTCCCAGGGGGAGGGAGTCGGAGAGGTGC